CCTCAGCCCTGCTGTGCTCTGGGTCCCAGGGCGCCCCCCCCCCCTCTGCTCCCCGTCTCCCAGGAGCGCGGGGACCACCACGGCCACTGGCCTCTTCCCGTCACTGGCTGGGATGTTTCTTTCACTTTTTTTTAAACACAAAACCTTTTCGTACGAGGTCTTTGAACGCACGGGGAGCTGACGCCAGTGTTGGTCTCCTGTGGCCACTGTACGTTCCCTCAGGTGCCGGCTCAGAGCCGCTGCACCTGCTCTCCTGCCGGGGGCCAGCCATCTTGGGGTTCAGCCCTCCCGGGGTTCAGCCGTGTCGGGGCCGGTTCAGCCGTGTCGGGGCTCAGCCGTGTTGGGGTTCAGCCGTGTCGGGGCTCAGCCGTGTTGGGGTTCAGCCGTGTCGGGGCTCAGCCGTGTTGGGGTTCAGCCGTGTCGGGGCTCAGCCATCCTGGGGTTCAGCCATGTCGGGGCTCAGCCATGTCGGGGCTCAGCCGTGTCGGGGCTCAGCCGTGTTGGGGTTCAGCCGTGTCGGGGCTCAGCCGTGTTGGGGTTCAGCCGTGTCGGGGCTCAGCCCTCCCGGGGTTCAGCCGTGTTGGGGCTCAGCCGTGTCGGGGCCCAGCCGTCCCGGGGTTCAGCTATCTCGGGGCTCAGCCATCTCGGGGCTCAACTGTCTCAGGGCTCAGCCATCTCGGGGCCCAGCCGTGTTGGGGCTCAACTGTCTTGGGCCGCAGGTGCCTCCCTCCTGAGCCCCTTTCCCAGCTCCTGGGCTCCCGAACCCCCGCTTGCTTCCGTGTCACTCCTGCTCCGACCCCCCTGCCTGCCTCCTGATGACCCTGTGGGAACACGGCCCACCTGACCACTCCCCCGTCTCAGCACCCCCTCTTTTTTGAGAGAGAAGCATTGCTGCCCTGGATGGTCTGTCCCACGAACTGGTGTGCTCTGTGTGCGCCCGACGGGGACCGACGGGGACCAGACCTGCCGTCTCGGTGCGTCAGGGACGTGTGCCAGCAGCCGAGCCCCCGCCAGGCTGGGCACAGCCTTTTCTACAAGCCAGAGTGTCTGCAGCACATCTGACGCTGTCCACCGTGTAGTCCCCTCCTGTCCACGTTATAGTCACTTCCTGTCCACCGTGTAGTCACCTCTGTGCACTTACAGAGAGAGGCCGCTCTACACAGCAGCCATAGCACCCAGCAAAGCGACAGCGACTCCTCCCAACACCCAGTACCCGTCCGTGCTCAGTCATCCCCATGTCCTCCCACCACCCAGTACTGTCCATGCTCAGTCATCCCCATGTCCTCCCACCACCCAGTACTGTCCATGCTCAGTCATCCCCATGTCCTCCCACCACCCAGTACTGTCCATGCTCAGTCATCCCCATGTCCTCCCACCACCCAGTACTGTCCATGCTCAGTCATCCCCATGTCCTCCCACCACCCAGTACTGTCCATGCTCAGTCATCCCCATGTCCTCCCACCACCCAGTACTGTCCATGCTCAGTCATCCCCATGTCTACCCACCACCCAGCACCCGTCCATGCTCAGTCATCCTGTGTCCTCCCACCACCCAGTACCCGTCCATGCTCAGTCATCCCCGTGTCCTCCCACCACCCAGTACCCGTCCATGCTCAGTTGTCCCGTGTCCTGAAAGCGCCTGCTCACAGTTGCTGCCTCGCCTCCAGGCCCATCCCAGGCCCCGCCTTGCGTGGGCTTCCTCTGCGGAATCACCTAGGCCACTGGTCATGTGACCCCCCGGCTTTGCCCTGGAGATGTGGTTGCTGAGTCCCGTCCCTGTGTCCGCCCTGCACTGGTGGCTGGGCCGGAGCTGGAGCAGGTTCCGGTTTTGTATTTTGGCAAGAGTGCTTCCTAGCGGGCGCTGGGTCCTCCTCCTGGGGGTCCGGAGGGTGGGGGGGTGTAGGGTGTCCGTGGGCTCAGGGTGCCTGGCTGTCCCACCTCAGGAGCAGATAGGTGAGCGAGGGGTGGGGGGTGTTGACCCCTCTGCTGTCAGGTTCCCAGGCCGTGGTCAGTGCAGGGCCCACTCCCTCCTCGGGCTGCAGACTGGAGATTCCACTCCTGTTGTGCCTACTGGGTGTGGCTCTCGTGTTTCTTCTCAGGGGTGTGGGGTCCCCTGGGGTCTGGAGGGTGCGGCCGGGGGAGCGAGCAGGCCCTGCCTGTCGCATGGCTCCCCGACGGCACCTTTCGGTAAAGAGGTGAGTGACCCAGCGTGTAGCACAGCCATCCAGGAAACAGGCCGGGCCGGCCTGGAGGAGCAAACCCAGGCGTCGGCCTCGATGGGGGTGGGGTGGGGGTTCAGCCATGGAGGTGGCGTCGGCACCTTAACATGCTTTTCGGAGGCGGAATCGCAGGAGCAGGACAGGCCTGTGCTTTGCACCCGTCGTCCTGGGAGGGGAGGGGAAGCAGGTCAGACAGAGGCCCCAGGAGGCCGGCCCTGAGCAGGGAGGACGCAGGGACAGGAGGCGGCCGTGGGGTGGAAGGGA